GGGTGTCCCTGAAACCAAGACCCTCACAATGAAGGCCAAGCCGAGGCTTCCTTCTAATGGCCAATGTAATTCCCCTGAGGCTGATGGCAGTTTTGTAGGACCCTTAGCCACAAAAAGGAGTGCATCCCACATTTCTGCCTGACTGTCTCTGACCAAAATGCAGTGCAACCGCATTTTCGTCCAACCATAGTTTTGGGACGCCCCCCCCCCCAAACCTGACTATTATCAAGCCAAGCTTGCAGGACACAAAACAAATTTGGTAAGATTCTGCAGTTCTTTGTAAACATTTATAGCTTCTGGAACCTTTAGGTCAAAAGGTGGAGCTCTTGACTCTTGACTCTAAAGATTTCTTTCTTTCTCGGTTCAAAAGCTCAAAAGAACCCCAAAGTAGCCACTGTAATTTTAAATTATCCTGGGTTATCTTGACAGCTGATTATGTTATCCCCATTTTAGGGGGCTTTTCCCAAGGTGGCCACAACAAACAAGGTAATTTCTAGAGTTTGTTATGGTTACTGAGAAACTCAGTCCCCAAAAGAGCCAACTCAATTCAGACAAAATTAACACACAATACAATTCTACACATAACACAGACCAGAATACTAGCTAGTTTTCCAGAAGTAGCTCAGAACCAGTGCCAGGAGTTACCCAAAACCAGATTGCCAGAAGCAACTGTGAACCAGAGCCAAGCCTTCCCTAGATCTAGAAGCAACTTTTATCCTGCCTCTAATTACCTTGTGTGGTTCAGTCCTCAGGTTCAGGTCTCAGCCTGCCAAAATTCCTCAGAATACAAACAAACCTATATTTCCAAGAAATCAAACCAGAGAGGTGAGGTAAGGGACAGTCGCTTTCTTAAAGTTACTCACCCAAAGCTGAGAGACATCTTGATCCAGAAGCTGTTTCTTCTCCCAATGGAGAAAAAGAGTGCCTTGGGGCCTGGAGCTCTGCAGCACAGAAACAGGAATCCAATCAGTCAAGCCTCTAGACAAAATTGTCTAGGCAACCACTTAGGTTTGGTGAAAAGACCCTACCGCCCACTAGGGGTTCCAGAGCCTTGGGCGGGCAGTCACAGGACCTTGTCACTTCATGGTCACCAATTTGTTACCACACAAAATTGGGGTTCACTTGCCTGATGCACATAAACGAGACAATTAGTTACAGCATCAGCCTATGGGAAAAGAGATCAGCTTTATTCTGCAAGATTGACCTTCCGGGAGAACAGGCGGTGTGTGCCCTCAGATCTGTCTCCCTGATTCAGGATTTGGGGTGAAATTTAAGAGATTAGGGAGAACAGGCTGGCATTTATGACATGGTTCTAAACATTTATGATGAAGTGGGGAAGGAATTTTAACACCAGATCTTCCTGAATGAGGGACACCTTGCTTCTTATAAGAGTCCTGCTTTCAAGTCCTTGGGTTCCATGGGAAAGAGTATCTTTGGTTCTGCGGTCATTTCAGGTCAAGATTTCTTCTTTTGCCCATGCCCTGGTTACATGACTGCATATTTTCCAGAAGGCAATTCTTAGTCACTCTGTTGATAAGAGATGCGGTCAGTTGAACTGGTCCTGGAGGGCCCTAGGTTACAAGGAGAGTGAGATGACAAAAGATCTTGAGTTCCACTTCAAATGCCAAAGGATTGTTGTCTATTGTATTGTAGGACAAAGAGGTATGGTATGAGGCTGTTAAATTGACTTTAAATTCTAAAGAAAAACAGACAAAATCTCTATTCATTAGTTAGAAGGGAGTAGATATTTTCACCAATCAAAAAAAAGTCTAAGATTTTATGAGTGATTTCTTCAAGGAAATATAGTAAAATAACTTTGTTAATCCATTAACTGAAGTTTTATCTCAAGTTTTCTTTAGTTTAAGCATAACAACTCAACACGCCTGATTGGGATACCCATTCCTTGCACAACCTGTGATTTCTCTACAGGAGGTAAACTGGAACAAGTACAGAGCTCACCTCACTTGTTTCCATTTTTCAGGGATTACTGTCATGTCCTATGTTATCCTTTGTCTGAAAAGTATTGTTCCATGTATTTTCTTCTTTTTGTTGTTAAGACGAGAGGTAAAACCAGTCTATGTAATTACATTATAATCAGTAGTGGAAGTACTGAAAATTGTTTCTGAGGTATCCCCAAAATCTATTTCTCCAGCTGTGAAATTTAGGCCACTTATAGTGATTGCTGATGTATTTAGATTTACTTCTATCATATTACATGTTCACATTTATATTTTCTGATTTATTAAGCTTTCCCCTCTTTTATGTGCTTTACATCTCTTTTTTTTGCCTAGTTATATAACAATACATAGTCTTCAATAGGCTTTTCAAAAAGACCAAAGAAAAATCAATATCTTTACTCACTTATGGAAAAATCCAACAATACTTTAATTATGATCACAGTATTCTAGTTCTACACTGTTTTATTTCCTAAAAATTAGAAAAATTATTTCCTAAAAATTATTATCGGTGTTTATGCAGTCAATGATTGTTTAGATGTAACCACGTATTTACAACAGCATTCTTCTTTAAGACTTCCTTAAATTTGGGCCTTCAGCTGTTTGTTCTTTCATATAAAGTAAACTACTAACATCTATTATAACAAGGATCTTTTAATAATAAATTCTCTCGGTTTTTTTTCCAGTTAAAATGTCTTTATTTCAAAACCATTAAGAATAAACAAAAAGTACCTGACAGATTCCAGTCATATGGGCTCTGACTTTCCTCCTTCAGGACCTCACTGATTCCCCAGGAGACTTCTTCAGGCCAGCCTGCTCTTCTCACTCCCAAGGACAACTCCGTCTCTTACCTCTAGCCCAGACTACACTTCCTGTTGTCTACTGATAGGGTCCAGTGAAGAATGTCTTCTCCTCTCTGTCTTTGCAACCAATGGTTGCGATGTGAGTGCTGAAGAGGCTTATTTATGACCAAGATGGACGAGTATCATGCACTTCCCAGAAAGAAGCAGAGAATGGTTACCAAGGAAAATAAGCAACTAAATATGTCCTGTCCTCCACTTCAGAAGGCAAACTTATCAAAGCTATTTTCTATATATCATCATTAACTTCTCTTACTCACCCATCCTCCTACTCCAGTATAGTTTCTGGGGATTAATTCTACCAAATCAACTCTCCCAGAGGTCACCAATGGTTTACTAGTTTCAGAGTCTTTATAATTTTGTATATTCGTTTTAATTTAGCATTGTTCTGGGCAAGGGTTGTCTAGCCGCTTCTGAGATACTTTCTATTTCATCTTGAGGTTAGTACCAAAATAGGGAAGTAAAAATGGAAACATAATGGGCCTCTACCACTATTTTCCATCATTTTCAATACATCATTTTTTCTTTCTCCACTCAACTTTCTTAGAAAGCTGTCCTTGCATTTGGATGCACTGAGACAAAAGGAAAACAATGTCGGTCTGAATAGGATGAAAGAAATAAAGTGAATCCCCAGGTGAAAAAATGACAATGGGAGTTCTTCTCTTCTCTTGTCACCCTTCCACTCCTCCAGTGTGGTTTCTGCTCATTAATTCTACCAAACCAGCTCTCACAAAGGTCAGTTCTGTTTCCCCATTTGCTGGATGGTTTCAATCAATAGAGCAGCTTAGTGACATTCAACATGGTACTAATCAAAATAATGATAAATTATCATTGTAAGTAATTAAATATGTCATGATTTAAAGTAAATAAAACAGACATATCAATATGCTTTGCCAATATAACAAATCCATGAAATCTATCCAGAGGCAAATATATTTCCAAAAGGGAAAATCATGCAGAGAAAAAATAATCCACACTCTATTCCAGGTCAGATCTTATTTCTCGCCTCCACTTCAGAAGGCAAACTTTTCAAACCTATTTTCTATATATTGTCATTAACTTTTGGTATTCACCCGTCCTCGCATGCCAACATGATTTCTGGTGATTAATTCTACCTAATCAACTCTGCCTGAGATCAATGCCATCTATTTCCCAAGTGTGCTGGGCAGTTTCCATCCACATTTTCATGGGTACGTTGAATCTTCTAAGCAGTTTCAGTCTTTAAACATGGTCTTCTCACCTTTCTCTCTCATCCTGTTAGCACATGGCTATTCCGCCTGTTTCCTTTGAGGTTCTTCCCTCACTTTTAACGTTGAAGGTCCTAGAAATCAATTTTAAGTCCTTTTCTCATTCTATACTCCTTGCCATGTGACCACATCCCTCCCCACACTTTACAGTTCATGGAATTGCTTGTAAATTGCAAATGGAACTATCCACTGGACACTTGCACTTAGATGCCTACCAGGCAAATAAAGAGAATATCTACTGCTTTTGTTCTTATATCCTGACATGACTCAATTCAGCTTCTGCTGAGAGAATTCCATTTTTTCCCTTTTTCTCATTCTAGCATTAAATCTAACTGATATTAATTTCTACTATTAATTAATATTAATTTTAAAAATAATTAATATTTAATTATCAATCAACTGATTATTGGTTTTAGGTTACTTTCCCTACAAAAAATCAAACATACGAGAAAGCAGGAATTGTATTTATTATGTCCACCTCAGCATCCTGAGGGCAACATACAACCTGGCTTAGAGGAAGTCCATTTTTACTTCTAACTTGGACATAACAATGATGAGTAAACGAAATGTGCCATCCATTCTTTAATCAGGTTGCACACTCAAGTGTGGTATTTCTTTTTTAAGGAATAAATAAATACAAGATAGTTTCTATACTGAAAATTTAATGAACAAAGAAAATAATAAATTGACTAAATATAAAGAATACATTTTGTTATATTAAACCACAATGTAAAGGTACACATAATATTATATGAACAAAAATAATTTAAATATTATAAATAATTAAATAAATTATTATTTAAATAGATCAGCATGGTCATCTGTATGAGACTAGTGTCCATGGGGTTAAACACAATATTCATTAATACTCTTCAAAACATTTTACAAACTTGAACGAATTCAGGTCATGATTACAGCAGAACTGAGAATCGTTGACATGGCAGAACACGTGGAAGTGTGATATTATTAGTCAGTGAGAATCATTTCCATGTTGAACCAGGTGTCATTCCTCACTCGTTAATCTTTCTTGCAAGTTTGTTGATGAAGAGAAGGATCTGGTGATTTCTGCTCTGACAATCTCCCAGGCACAAGGGCTGTATTTCTTCTCTTGCAGATACAGAGTGATTCTCTGGAAGTATCTCCTCACAGCCAGCATGGAGTCCGCATTCATCAGGGGAGTCTCTTCCACCCCCACCTCCTGGGTCAGACAGGCTTCCAGGTCAGTCAGCTGCTGATCAAGTCCAATGTAGAATTTGTCCAGGAGGGTCTCATCCCAGGCAGCAGATGAGCCCTCTGTGCTGAAGAGGTGGAAGATCTGCTGGATCATCTCGTGGACCACAGAGATGGCTTGAGCCTTCTGGAACTGGTTGCCATCAAATACCTCTTGGGGGAATCCAAAGTCATTTCTGTCCTTCAGGCAGGAGAAGGCGGGGATTCTCCTCATTTGTTCCAGGAGCATCAAGACCCTCGTGTTGCCCAGGCTGTGGGTCTGAGGCAAGTCACATCCCAGAGAGCAGATGGAGTGGCAGCTGAGCACCACCAGGGCCGTCAGGAAGGAAAAGGGTAGGGCCGTTGGGGATCTTGCAGATGCTGCTGGCCTGGCTGAGGTGGGTGATCTGTGACCCTTGTCTCTGGGTTCTCTGTAGACCTTCCTTTGTGCCTGTGTCTTAAATAGGGCACACATGAGTGTCTATTTTCTGAATGTTTCCCTTACTTTCTACTGTTTTTCTTTCCTTTATGCATTTTTCTTCATGGGTTTAGAGCAGTGTTTCTCAACCATTTTTTTTTTCTTCATCGCGTCCTGCCTGCAGAGTCTTTTTATGTTTTTTCCTAACTGAACCCCTCAAGAAAACTTAGTAACACAGAAACACTGCATATCTGTTTATGTATTCTCTCTACATCTCTACTTTATGCATAGAAAAAGAGAGTGCATACTTTACTCTTTCTATTCAGTACAAAATTAAGAATAAACTAAAATTTTAAGATAAAAGTCAAATTTGAAAGCTATTGACATTTAATTTATCTTCATAAATGAGTTTGCAGAGGGACTTTTAATGCGATATATTAATTTATCTAAATAGTAATGTATCAAATTACATATTCATATTAAAATTTTACATGAATACATCATTATAATACCAATAATGATATATATAAAAATCTTTCAGAACTGCTAAAAACAATTGAAAATTCAAATTATTTTCTTAACATGTATTTTTACATACATAATTTTTACTTTCGCTTCATGTCAGAAAATGAATTTTAACTTCACTAGCTGCTAGATACTCTGACAATATCTTTTCTTTTC